CTCACCGATGCCAATGACATAATTACCCAGCTACATTTCTGAAAGAATGCAAAAGCATTGACATATATTTTTCCTTCCTGCGATAGCCCGACGGGCAGGCAGAGATAGATTTTGGTAACGACTGATCTGATTGAGGAATCACTCATTTTGGAAAAGAGAGTTTATTACAGAGAAATGGCTCTTTCCAAAATAAAAGCTATACTATCGCTTCTTCTGGGCTATATTCTCAGCAGCATATTAAACATATCAGGTCCCCATAAGGAGAATCATGTGCTAACGGCTGTCTAAATGACTCGGGTAAAGTTTGTAGCATGCTGCTTGTTGTTTTTGTCTGCTTCCACTTGTCTTTGCACTAGGATGATGTCGGCGTAAATGTGCAGTCATATTCGTTGTGTTCCCACTAGTGCTGTCAGCGTTAATCTCGTTGAAATGACGTTAACGCCACAACACGGCAAATCTCCGTTAACGAGCTACCCCGATCGCCGTGCTGGGGCTAGACGGCCAACACGTTAACGAGCTAACTGCGCTAACACACTAGTCCCACCCATGTAATTGAGCATTGCGTGGCACATCCAACATACTGTTTTACTTTAGTCCATGACCGCTTACCTTCAGGGTCATACGTCACATGAAAACCAAAATAATTCCAAACGCCAGATCTGAATGAGGGTGGGGGAGGTTCATTGCATTTGCAAAAGCTTCAACAAATGCTTATCTGACTTCATGAATGTTGACATCGCTGAGCATTGCGCCTGGTACAAGCTAGGATGTCTAATTAAACTTGTTCTCGACTACTCGCTAGGCTGACTGTCATGCGCCGATGCGCAAAGACATGACGTCTCGAGCTCAATGCAGATCATGGATAGGCTCAAAAGATACATCGTCAGAAGTGAAGTGATAAAATCAAAGTTATCAAATTGTAGCTGAACATCCCAAGCACTGTTCGAACGCGTTCATTCGATACGAATACGTTGCACACTGTAAACCTACCAAGACAAGGCCGTCCACCTAAACTCACAGGCCGAACAAGGAGAGCGCTGATCAGAAATGCAGCCAAGAGGCCCATGGTGACTCTGGACGAGCTGCAGAGATCTACAGCTCAGGTGGGGGAATCTGTCCATAGGACAACTATTAGTCGTGCACTGCACAAAGTTGGCCTTTATGGAAGAGTGGCAAGAAGAAAGCCATTGTTAACAGAAAACCATAAGAAGTCCCGTTTGCAGTTTGCAACAATGAAAATATTGTCGGGCATAAACCGGTCCGTGGTGCAAAAAAGGTTGGGGACCGCTCTAAACAGTTGATGCAGTATTTTTGTGAAACCCCTTTAATGTGACAAAATGTGGGAAAGTTCAAGGGGGCCGAATACTTTTGCAAGCCACTGTATATATGGATATAAAGGAAAACAGGAAGAGTTAACTATAACTGCCTCAAACCATGTTAACCAAGGTTAATAGCTACTCTTATAGCTATACTAAATACACTGCAAGACAGTCATTCATTAACCGAGGAACAAAAGAAAGAGTATAACTGCTAAACAGTTGACCTTAAGAGCAACTAGCCTTGAAACTCTTCAGGAGCTTTGCAATATTGTCACATCATAAAACAGAAAAAAAATGTTTTCTTGCTGGGATGTTTTATCTTCGGTTGAGCTTTTTAACCAGCTGTTTAAGGCCCTGCTTTTCCACCATGTAACTACTCTTCCTGTCATGTAGGGTACAGCTAACTAGCTCACATCTGTCCACTTATGTCTACTAATCAAGGTAGACTAAATCAGCTGTTTAATGTTGTTTCTAAACGAGATTTTCAAACATTGCTTCATATTCATAAATGAATGTGGGAAATAAATAAACTCTTAGGTTCTTCCCTCAGTCTCCCTCATGTCTCCTCTTGTGATCAGAGCTTTACATACAGTTGGGCCCATAGGTTTTTGTGGTTTGCACCCTGTATTAAACCCTTTGTGTTTGCATTCATGAAGGCGTCTCTTGATTTTAGACTTTCACAATGGCAAGCGAATGTTCTTGACTCAGCTAAGCGCTGGTTTTTCTAGACCTTGGAATTAATTTTGTCGTCTTGAACTTCATGATGTCATCTTTGGTCTTTTTGTTTCTGAGTTGGGCAGTGCATTTTTTCTTTTTAAGAATGCACCAGGTTACTGATTTGGATTTGGCCACTACTGAAGTTTTTTGGGGTTTTTTTTGTATCTCTGCTACGTTTGTTTTATTTTTCAACCTAGTAATTCTTTCTTTAACTTGCATGGGCACCTCTGAACAGCAGAACTCCATATCCTCGATTTGCTTAATTTGTTATGAAATAACAAAGGAACAGGTCTCCCCTGGCCATGAAACTGCTTGCCAGTGACATGAAACTGCGATTTGGGCGACAGTGCTTAAAAATGGCTGTACTCTAAACCAGCGGTCCCCAACCCCCGGGCCTCGGACCGGTACCGGTCCGTGAGTCGTTTGGTACCGGGCCGCGAGTTGAGGTTCAGGTGTGAAATGTATGGTTTTCAGGGTTTTTATCGGTTTTCAGCGTTATTTTGTTATCGTTTTTATCGTTTACTCGGTTTTCCTGGGTCTTTTCACGTGTGTTATGAATAAATTTTCTTTTTTTCGGTACTGGTACTAGTTTTATTTTGTTGTATTTATCCGCGACACCTTAAAGGCCGGTCCATGAAAATATTGTCGGGCATAAACCGGTCCGTGGTGCAAAAAAGGTTGGGGACCGCTCTAAACAGTTGATGCAGTATTTTTGTGAAACCCCTTTAAATGAAGGTGTATGAAGTTTGCACTTTTGTCACATTACAGGCCTGAAGCACAAAAATGGCTTGTAACACATTCCCAATTGTTTCAGTCTGCAGAAGCAAACAAAAGTAAAACCCTGACTCAGTTACAGATTGCATTGTGTGTTCAACTTATTGATCCATTAGCTTTGTGCAAGACCTTTCAGAGCATGATCACTGCTCATAAATTATTAAAGTCATTGCTTCAGTAAATAAATATCATATAAATAGGTGATCACAAACTGATATGTGTTACTCCTGTAACGGTGTTGATGTTTGTTTTCTCATTAAACAAATTGTGTACACATGTCTCAGAAAGGGAGCCAAGCTAATATTCACTTTTGTGCTATTAGTTTGGCAGTGGTTAATGTTTCTGTATTTTCATTATTTACTAAAGCGCAGGGAAGATAATCAAAGTAATAGAATACAAATGCTGATTTTAAACAAACAAAAAACCGAGAGAAACAATTTTGTTGTGGTAAATTTGTCTCTTCGCAGCTGCTCTTGTGTATAAACATGAGTGCTTTTAGGTTTCGTCTCCAGTCCAAAAATCCACTTGGCAGATACATTGTTGGACCTAGCTGAATTTTATAATCCACTAGGCACGGTGGCAGACAGGCAAAGTTGGTTTCCAGCTGTCAATGGCTGATATGAATAACTGCTTTTTAATGGGAGGTACTGAGCTGGGAGCTGTAGACTGTGGCTCACAAAGCATGGCTTGGTTTTTTTTAGAGGCCATGATATTGTCTGTATAATAGTACAGCCACCCAGGAGGCTGTTTTCTGTGGTGAAGCTGGGCCATGATGTTCACCATTTACCTAAAATGATCCTGCATTAAAAAATGAGATAACAAAACTTAGATATCTCTAATTTATTCATTGCAGTCTGTTTGGTTATACTGCGTCTATCCTGTTTGTCCAGTTTGTTGGCATATAACTTTTTCTAGGTTTTACTCGCTGTAGAGCAGCAATAATTAGGTGGTTATTTCATTAGATGATGAACAGAAAATGGATCATCAGTGCTTTGGTAACAGTTTTAGTCTTTTCTGTGGAAATACCACTTATTAAGCTAAAACCTGATGATGATTTTGTTGCTTAACAGAAGAAATAAATGATTGCTAAAAAGAGATCATTACAGCTAATTATATGTAGTGCTTCTAATGCTTTTTTAACATCTAGCAGTGCATACTGACATTCAGATGTGCACATAGAAACATGATATATATATAAGTGCATTTATATGTGAGATAAATGCACACTTTTTTAATAGTTTTCAAAAATACTGTTTATATGGTGCTTCTCTGTAAATCTTTGCAATATTGCAACATTTCTAAGGACTTTGTGGTAGGTCTTGAGTTGTAGCTGATGACGTTACTTCTGTTCTGCTCTCACTTTGCATAGTTTTCTTGCATACTTTGCAAAGTATTCAGCTCTTTTGGATGTTGTTGAAGTTGCTCCTTTTTTTTTCTGTATTTAATCATCATCAGAGGCTGATGATGTGGCTCTTGTGCTGTTGTTGTAGGTGCATAGGTATGTAAACATGTGCCATCCCTATGTCACTGACACAAAGATATGATGCTTTTATATCACGTGAAAATTTTATATCTGCGTTATAGCAGATGCTATGATATGGCACGTTCCTTGTAGCCTGAGCAAGTCTGGCATAAAGAACCAGTTTTCTGCCTGTAGCAGGGTGTTGTTACAGTGCCCCCCCAAGCTGAGACAACCTGTAAGAAAACAAAACAGGAAGGGCTGGGGCATGTTGGCTTGATGATATAAAATATCATAGTAAAGCCAATACAAAAGTGCTTTAAACCGGCCTTATTTTCAATGGCCAGCAGGGGCAACACCTGTGTATAATGTTTGTATGGAAATCTATGGGAAAATCAGCCCTCTTGTGCCTTACTTTTCTGACCCAAGTTAATACTTTGCTGTTTGATTTCATGGGTCAAGTCATGGGGATTAAAACATCAAATTAAATTAGGCAATTATGGACATTTTTTGGAGTCAGCGGGATTATCCAGGGTATGCTCATTGGATGTCCACTCTGCTGATCCACCCTCAATCCTCACATTTGGTCAAAGCACCAAAAATGGCAGTAGTGTAAACACACAGCTTTTCAGATGAAGTGTTGGTGGTTTATCAAATAAAACATTTCTGCACATGAAATTAAGAACAAACTTGACTTTATAATCCTTAAATATATGTTTTTGCCTTTTAAGGTGGGGCCATCAGTAGAGCTGTCTGAAGCAATGGTGACGTTCGCTACACATCCAGATCCCACAGTAAGGCAAGCATTTTTGGCCGACAGCGTGATCAACCCATCAGTAGGCGTGCACAAAGGAATAAAGTACGCCAGCTGGTCTCCGTTGGGTTGTGACTCGAGTGGACGCTGCTTGCTCGCTTGCCTAACGCTTGACCACAGACTTACCATTCATAACAGCCACAAGCGTCTTGAGTGGAACACGCTAGTTGATCTTACTAAAAAGTACAGCGAGAGGCTAAAAGAGCGGAATTATGCCAGAAAGGATGACAAGCTGCCGCAGACTAACCTACAGGACTTTGACGAGCTGCAGCGGCGTTTCCGTATGCAGACGCCACTGAGAATGGAGTGGTCGAGTATTTACACGATTAAACAGGTTCAGCCGGACAACACGGGCGTAGACTTAGAGATGGTCCTCCTCGCTGTCTTGATGGAAAACGGTGACCTCGTCTTGTGGAAGTTTGTGTTGCCTTTTACGGATGGGGCAGATGTCACGTTTTATGACATCATCGAATCAGGCGTGACCAGACCAAGTGACTTAGCGTGGTGGGAGTATGAAAACGCAGATCGTCGCATGAGCGGCCTGATCGTCGGCAGTGAGGTGGGACCCGTCAAGATCATGCCAGTCAGCCTGTCGGGAGTGAAGGGGTATTTCACCCTCCGACACCCCGTCATCCTGTGGAAGGAGTGCGATGAAATCGCTGTTGAAAACCTCAAATGTGTCCCAATGATCCACCCGATACATAAATCCAGCTGCAGCCTCATCGTCGCATCACGTGGCTGCTACGTCTTTTGGTGTTTACTTGTGATTTCCCCAGCTGGACTAAATGTACACAACTCTCACGTGGCTGGGCTGCACTCCCTTCCTGTAGTCTCCCTAGCGGTCAGTCAACAAGGTGTCGCGGTGTACACTTGTTCCACAGACGGGTGGATTAAAAAGCTGACGCCAACTTTTACAGAGAGCACTTTAATATTTAAGCAGGAGGAAATGATGCGACCAGAGAACCTCACGGGGAGGAGGATACACGGGATTGCAGTGAGCCGCAACGGAGCATATATTGCACTTGTCAGCACGCAAGGTATGGTTGATGGCTATCATCCAGTTAACAGGACTTACCAGGTTCACTTTGTGACCTTAAAAACTCCAGAAGCTGCAGCAGCGTTGTTGCTCAGGTCTCCTACGCAGAACTTGTATAAAATGGCCGACCTGCTCGACCTGGTGAGGTGGCAGATTTTGAAAAACAAGTCCATCCCTGCATCACTGCAGGACGAGCTCGATCAAAAGATCCGGGAAGCGGACTCGCCTTACTTGTGGCGGTTCAAGCTCTTTTTGGTGCGAATACTTCACCAGTCACTGCAGTCACCTAACACAGAAAACAACTGGAAACCTGCAAAAGAGGGAAGCAAGGTGTTCATAAGAGATGAGGAAGAGGAGGATGGAGAAGACAAAGAAGGTGCTGTGAAAGAGGAAGGTGAGCCCGGAGGAGAAAAACTGGAGAAGGAGGAAAATCAGGAGGAGCAAAGGGCAGAGGTACAGGCTTGGATGAACACCGTAGAGACTCACTTGATGAGAGAAAACATGAAGAAGGTGTTAGGGGTGGTGTACCTCAATACCTGGCTAGCAGAGAACATTAGCATACCCACCTGTGGCCTGGTGGAGTATCTCTCTAAAGACACCAACGACAGAGCATCAGAGGTAATGACTCGCATGTTATTTTTTTCTACTTAAGACACCACTGCACGTTCTTTTGGTTTGGTTTACCTGAATACAGCGCTGTAAAAAGTATTTGAAAAGCTTAAATGTTTCAGATCATTTAAAAAATGTTAGTAGTAGTCAAAGGAAGGAGTTTTTACATGATCATTTGAAAAGAACCTGTAGATTATAGAAACAAATTCAATGACATCTATCACTCTGGACAGTGTTACAAAACCATTTCTTAGGCTTTGGGGACTCCAGTGAACCACGGTGAGAGCAATGATCCACAAATGAGGAAAATTTGGAACAGTAGTAAACCTTCCCAGGAGTGGCCGGCCTACTAAAACATTTCATCAAAGACTCATCCAGGAAGTCACAAAAGAACCTAGAACAGCATCTAAAGAACTGCAGACCCCAATTACTTCTGTTGTTGCTTCATGACCCAGAAAATCCAATCCAAGCACCTCAATCCAATTGAGGTGCTTTGGCACGCCCATAAACAGGCCACCCGAGCTTGAAAACCCTTCAGTGCGGGTTGATTACAAAGAATAGTTGGCTAAGAATTCACTAAACTCATTACCAGTTTTCGTCGTGATGCATTCTCAATCATCCAGGTAAGTAAATTTCCAAAGATTGATGCAGCAACAACTCCACCTCATTGTTAGTCCATTTAAAAAAACTCTGTGCGTTTCCTCGACGTTTTGCCGCGACGTTTGAAAGAGCCGGAAAGTAAATAAACGGCAGACAGAAATGAGGCAGGCCGAATCGTCTTGTGTTTCACGCATGCGCAGTACTGGAACGTAAGCGTTTTCGGCCGTTTCAATGTGGACGCGCAACTCTGTGAAAACGACTGAAAACGCTAGTGTGGACGCGGAGCGTTTTCAGACAAAAACGCCGTTTTCAAATATTTCCGGGCTAGTGTGGACGTAGCCTCAGCTGACTGCAGGTTTCCTCAATTTTATAAACAGTACATTTGCATAATGACTGAAACCAGCCCATTACCAGTTATTGCAAATGTTTGATTGCAGTTACAATGGTTGTCAAGGGTGGCGCAACCAGGTAAGTTTAGGGGGCTACTTTTTCCAAGAGGGTTTGGTAATTTTCTAACTTTTGTATTTACTCAGGTTTTGTTTATCTGAAACATGCAAGTCTGGCAAATATGTAGGAGGGGGATACTTGTTAGATGTAAGGCTGCAGTGGAAGAAACTTCTTTGACTTCTTTGCCTCCGCTATACAAGTTGGGAATGATTGCATTGGTTGCTTTAATTCAGACCCTTTGGTCCTGCATGCTTTGTCCTTCAGGTCCTGATTGGCCACATCAAGAATAAGATGAACAAGCAGACGTTCTCGGAGCGCTGCAGCCTGTGTCAGGATGTGCTGCCCTTCACAGACCACAAACAAACCATGTGTAAAAATGGACACATGTGGCTCAGGTACGCACAAAATTCTTGAACAACTTTAGAAACTTAAAACGTCTAAGGATGGTTGTTTTTCTTAGCTTTAGCCTGACAGGATGAGTAGGTGCACCGTTGGTTCAGATGCCACAGCTGAGCCTGAGCGTTGGGACATGAATTGAATCTCAATGCCGAACGCCTTCTTTGACGGTTTATTTATCTTCTCGGAGCAGTAATCAAGGCTCCTTCCTTCTGATATTTACCCATGCAGCACTCTCATCGTCTCATAAATATCGTCTGTCAAACATTTCTCCTGCCTGCTCTCTAGCTTGAACGTGGTGCCTCTGGTGGGCACTGAGGGGAAATCTGTGCCCGTCAGCTGCACCTCAGCACTGTTTCTGCTCTACTTTTATAATGCGTATATGTGTGTGTGTGTGTGTGACTGTCCCTGGCAGCCAGCTCTCTAATGTATTTCTTTCGGTCTCCTCCAGGTGTGCGTTGTCATACCAGGCCTGCCAGACGCTGACGTTCAGACGGTGCCTCCTGCTGGATAGCATCGCCAGACTGCCAGAGCCTGAGGGTAAGCGCCACTTTCCATCTCCCTCCACCTCCATTTCACAGTCGCGCTCTCGATCAGCCGTCTCCTCCTGTCACCTTCAACATCAGCCTCTGCCGCTCGGATCAATGCTCGACATGTTGGATGACTGAGCCACACAAACATAATACTTATTAACTGTGACTGATTGCAGAAATTAGCACAGCGTCTTTTCTTTCTTTTTAGCCAGTGTGCCTTTGTATTTTCTTATAAGGCAAGAGTTGAGTTACTGGTCACAAAGCTCAGTCTTGTCACTTTCTCGGCTAGGACTTGAAATGTGTAGCTGGGGAATTCTGAATGCTGGAGCGGGAGTAAGTGATCTTTGCATGACTTCTTTAAGGTCGGTCAGCTCAGTAGGAGGGTAGAAATGTGCACTGACATGCACGTGCAACAATGCAATTAACAGAATGGGTGACTACTTTTTTTCTTTTTGCTTGTGCTTGTGAATTACTGAAGGGGTTAATACTTTGATACTCAGGGGAGAAAAAAACAAAACTATCCGAGATTCCAGTGAGGAGGAGACACGTTAGTCCTGATTTCTTAAGTAAACGATAACCTGGATTAGAAAAACCTGTTGGCAGTGGAAAGCTGATTTCCACTGCCATGTGTACAGTTAGATGGATTTCTAATCAGCCTGTTCACAACAGACTGTAAACAGAAACACAGGTGTGACAGCAGAGCTGCGGGATGAAAGAGGAGATGAATGCATTACATACATCATTACTATATAATGCATGTAAACATGTTTTCTGATTGCCTTTATATCTGAAATAATGATTGCATTCTGTTTCCTCATAAAAGTCCTAAAGGAAAGAATTAAGTTTACAAAAGCCTTAAGTATTGTCTCGAGCCCGCAGTCGACTGTGCAGGCAAGCCAGCAAAGGTTTCTGTATCAGTCTGGGGGTGTCCCGACCACAGTGACATTGCTGACTGCTGCTCACTCATTAGGTACGAGCTCTACATCGATTCTGATAAGGAGTCATTACAGTACACAATTGTAACATTAGAATTTAGGATTTAAATATACTGCTTAAACATGGGGGAATTGTACTGTATGCTAACAAATAATTGTTATCTTTATAATTGTTTTCCTCATACCATACGTTCCTCATACCTTCTTTATATTTTGACCATTACAGTAATAATTTGCATTCTTTTAATGGTCTTAAAAAGCCTGAAACGCAGAAAGCCTCGGTGAGTCTGTGGAACGTTTATTGCATCTAAGTAATCTGATTATCAGACGTTTACTATTTACTCAAACTGATTAAGAAGATTTCTGTCTGTTGTCATTGTGTCCAGTATTTCAGTTTCTTTAATTGGATTTGGGGAAAGTATGATTTGCTTCACATTAAATGTAGGAAACCCTCTTACATATTTATGTTCGGATATATTTGTAAGTTAGAGATCTTTGCTCTGCATTGGTTTTACAGTACATGTCTCTATGACATGTAATGTACACATCATCATAATAGCCTATAAATGGGTGGAGGTAAGCTCAATAATGATACAAATGAGAAAAAAATATATTATTCTACATAAACACAGAAGTGGGAAAAGAGCAGGCTCTGTGGTCCTGCAGGGGGAAAAATGATCTCAGGTCTTTATCAAACCTGCCTGAGGGGCAGCTCTGCTGGTCATCCCAGCCTATCTGAGCTAATGAGTGACAGGTCTGTGCAGTTGTGGCATCTGTCAAAATCAGCATCACCCCCCACTTGTCTAAAAACATCTTTAGGATGTTTGCCTTCTTTATAGTTCCTATTTTACTATTTTTATTATTATCACAGCAGTTTCTGTTTGGAATAAAAACCCTTTTATACATGAAATTCTTAAAAACAATTTAGAAGCTCTATGTCTGACAGCAAAAGACAAAACAACCTACATTAATATTAAATATATGGCATTAAATAATTAGAGATAAACAAACCAGCCATGTTGCCATCTTGAATATGCCCGAGACACTACAGTCTGTGCAGCAGACAGGAGGCCGTTTCCCCCGCTGAGCCACTGCACATCATGTCTGTGAGATTTAACTTTAGTCGTGGGTGTTTTGGGATCACAACGAAGAATTTTCTTTTCCCCTAAGTCCTGCCTCACTGATGAGTGTGAGATAATGCACTTTCACAGTAAACTTCCTAATTTAGTCATTTCTTATCTCTCACATACTTCATTAGAAAGCCCTGTTCTATACTTCTACGTCAATAGCAAGCATGAGGTTAAAATTAGTTTTTTCAGTATTGTACAGTGGGATAAATAAAATTTTTAACCCGTTTTATTCATTGTGGGTTAATTTACTCAAGCATAGATGTTTTTGTTTAACCAGTGGTCAAAAACTCTGACAAATGTTATAGATGTTTTAGAAAAGTAAGCCGTTTCCTTCGCATTACTTCTGGCAAATGTTGGAAGACAATGCAGACTGACCATCGCTTACACTTGTCCTGTCTTGCGTGTAGAAAGCAGCAGGAGAGAAGCATGCTCTCATTACAGGAAGCGCTTAGTTTGTCAGACCAGTGTGTGCAAGGGGCGGCTCACTTAATTGTGGTGTGTCGTGAAAAGTTTAGGGCTAAGTTTGTTAATTTTTCATCCATATTTTCTCACCTGAATTTTTCTTTTTGGTGCTTTAGTATTAGACTATGCATGCACACTAACAATGAATTGTAATGTATTTTAATTCATGTAAATGACACTGAATAACAACTGTAAATGTGCAGGATAAAGCTTCAGCTTAATGTATGCGTACTTTTATATAACGTATTAGAATAGGCCGGCCTCCCAGTACCAGTAATGAAGACTCAACAAAACACAAATAAAAATGTAGAGTTCACAAACAATAGTGATCATACCCCAGTTTTGAATGCTCAGCATATAAAAATGGTTATTACATAATTATTAAATATGTTTGCGTTCCATTGCAGTCCATTTTTACTGTATCTCATCACCTACTTCTCCCCATCTTTTGATATCAAACCTTTTCTTTCTTTGTCTGAACTACAGTTCGTGTCTCGAGGGCACAACACATTACCTCGGCTGTTCCAGCTCAAACTTCACTTGTATACTTACTTACTAAAAATGTTTATTATTTAGCCACATCCTTTTCTTAGGAATGGTGTGCACTATTGATTGTCCCACTTTTATTGCTTTAGTGGACAAGAACATTATCGATTTTTGTGTTTCTTATATAGAGAAAAGGGCACTACGCAGATTGCAAATAACGAGAGTACGACTGTGTTTGTAGAATGAGCCTGTAACATATGCATGGCAGTGAGAACAAATTGGCCAGTGTGCGCATTTAATGAATCCAGTGGTAAGTTTGCACATGCCCTTATTTTGTGCTCAATTGTATACTCGTAGTGCTTAATGAGGCCATTTTTTTTGGGGGGGGGCTTAAATTGTACTCCTGTCACCCTTCAAAGTCTCTGATATTAATACATACATAACCACATTAAATGAATTTGTTGTTCGTAATCTTGAGCACAAACAGAAGTTGTTTTGTTTCCCCACAGATCCAGAGTGGATAAAGAAGATACTGCAGGCACCCTGCACGCTCTGCGACTCGCCGATGATCTAGAGCTAAACGATCATTAAAACCTCAGGGCTTCCCCGCGACCTTCAGAGCTCGCCGCTCTGACACCGGGTCCAATCTTGTCAGACATCACTGCTTTTTTCTTTCTTAATTTGATATATTTTGTTCATGTTTTTATTACTTTATACTGGTATGTTAAAAGAGCAAATAAAACGCTTTGAATATTTGTTGAAACTCTTATTTCACTCCAGTTACAAAGTGTGCAGTGTGTGCTTCCTGCCTCTAAAGTTTTAAATTAATATTTTACGGAGGTAAAACATTTTGGAGTCAAACTTTACACATTTCTTTATTTTCCACCCCTCATCTAAAGCGAATTCCCACTCAGAGCAGTGTTTGGACAGAGATGCTCAGAAACAAAGTTTAAAATGTGGTTATATGTGGAGGTTTTTATTATTCAGTAGGACTTCAGGGCGCCATAAATAAGCTCCCTCATTTTCCTCATGTTGACTCTATTTCCAAACCTTTGGTGTAGTTTTTATTGCAAGTAAGTGGAACTTACTCTGCGAGTCCTATTTTAGTGGGTTTTTTCTTCTTCTCCTTTTTTTTTTTTTTTTTTTTGAGTGCAACAAATAATACACTCTGAATAATACATACTCTGGAAGAAACTCAACATACCTACTTTAATTGGCACTGTAAAACAATTTCCAAGCTCTGGGAGGAGGAGATGGAGGGTGGTGGTGCTCAGTCATTCTCTCAGATGAGGACTTCCGCTAATGTAAACGTAGAAGAGAAGAAGCAGCGAGGCAGATGAGATGAGCAAGAGGCAGGAAGAAAGCAAAAAGTGTGCTTAAAAACCCAGCGTGTCCCTCCCACGGGAGCCCGTTGTAATGAGATTCAGCAGTAATGAGGGACAGAACATGGCGCCAGATGTGATTCTAATTCTAATCAAGGACGGGAGGGTGGAGGTGATGGAGACGGGGGGTGTTAGGATAGAGAGCATATTGTTAAATACAATTAACCCTTTTTTCATATTTGGAGAGAACAAGGGCTGCAGGGTGGGGTTACAGGCTCAGCAGCGTGTTATCTGGCCCTCCTCCTTGTTGTGGAGACATGGAGGTCGGCTGCTGGTGATCAAAGAGGAAGCCGGAGCTGAGAGACCAGGCCGGCAGCAGAGCCTCTTCTCCACTGCGGCCTTACATCTCCAGGTCCGACAGGGGCGGGGTTGGGGCTGCCCTTCCTCTGGTGTCACCAGAGATGATAGCCTGCCCCCGGGCAAGGAGAGAGGAGGCAGCTCTGCTCCAAACTCTCGGGAGCTCATGAAAGGGAAGCTTTTTACTTTATTTTCCTAAGCCCACATTTCTCAGTTCAGTGGTGGCATTTATTGGCCCAAGACTCAGAAGACTCAGCGCATCGGTAGAAAAAGGAGTGTCTCCCGTTTTGCTTGAAATTGAATCGCTTATCACATTATCCTGTGCAGTGCTGCAGGAGATGCCCTGGACTATTGTATGATTAGTTTGCTTTTAAGCTGCATAAGGCAGTCCTTTTTTAAATGAACAGTGCCAAGGCTAATAAAGAACACAACTAGAACTCTCTTTAACTTCTGATGTGGCTTCTACAGTACTCCTCCTGAGGTCCACAAAGGGTTAAATGTTATTCCCGTGCTTTTACCCACAGATTTCCTTCCCTCGCCTCTGCTCTGTCCCAAAAAAATATAAGAACAGTCTTAAAAGTTTCTAAATTGATTAAACGAACGTGTCTGCAGACTACAACAGAGTGCAAAACGTGCACAAATGACTACTGAGAAAATATATAAATGTAATGACACTGTGAAGTTTTCTTCTGAAATTTGAAAGAAATCCTGCAGACCATGTGGATGCAGATCATTTTTATTTATTTTATAAACACAAATGACAAAACTCTCAATAAGGATTGCTCAGTTTTGACTGATTTTAAACAAGTCCATTTATTAGTCTTTTTCTGGCCCTTTTATCTACATCTTCTCTTCTTCATCAGTTTGTTTCAAACCATTGTTTATTTCCCTGTGATGTCCTTTGTGATTTGTTTGTTTTTTAAATGTCAGACACACATAAAAGACACACCGTTTGCGTGTTTTTACACTTTTTTTTGATGTAAGGTATGATGCGGGTTGCACCACTCAGCGTGATACGGCATTCCCCGGTGGAACTGATAAGCGCACTTTCCAACTTTTAAGCAACATGTAAAAAAAAAACACGTGAAAGAAAAAGTTATATTATTCATTCCAAGTGGAGCTTTGTGCTTTTCCACATTTGTTGTTATATTAAACATTTTCTGAAGAGTCAAGGAATTATGAGCCAAAAGCCCAGACTTCAGACTGCTCTGTATGCTCAGTTTCAAGCTGATCTTTCTCCTCTTGCCCCACAATGATGTCAGTGAGAGGGAATATTCAGATATTTCAGATACAACACTTAAGCCCCACCCACCTCTTAGGAATGGTTATCCAGGGTGCGATCACAGGCTAATGACTCTTTAATTAAGTTAGCCAGTGAGCTTGCAACATGCTTGGATTCACAGTCTGGTCTGAAACAGCAAAGATGGTGCCGTGAGAACATTCAGCTCAAGGTTTCAAGAGACTTCATTTACCATTAGGTGGCGTCACAGTGGCTAGTTTTATAGTCTTCTATATAAGCTGTGGTTTTCATAGTTGATCAACTGAGGGGCTGTGCCAAGGCTCAATGTAAGGTGTATTCAAAGGTACTTTTGAATTTTGTATAATCCAAAGCTGGTGTAAAAATTTGGAGCAGAGGACAAAAATTTGCTGCTATATTTGCGCAGCTGCTGTCCTTTCTAGCGTCTCTTTTCACACTGCAGTAAGAATAGGATGGCAACCTCCAACTGACCAGGAAAAACAGTGGTTGGAGAGTGATTGCATTACTTTTTTTTTTTTTGCTGTCTCCATCAAATAAAGAAAAAAAGAAACATGCGTTGTTAAGGTTTATGTTAATAGCTATTAGGTTTATCAAAAACAGTTAGCAGACTGACTTTGTCTTATCGCTATATTGACGCACCAAGTTGGTTTAAAGACTGCAATTGACTGCAAGAGGTTGCAGACCTGTTTCCTGTTGTTAAAGTGATGATTTTAGAGGTAAGAATTTTCAAGCTGATTGCAAACTTGCAATGATTTTGGTTGTACTGCAGTCTGTAGTGTTTTCCCCTGGTGTGACTGTAGCCTAAGTTAAAGTAACTCAAAGCCTCGTATTTAGCTTTTCATTAGATCCGACTGTGGTAGGTTTGCAGTATGCGGTGCCTTCTTGGCAGTCAGGTTTCTTTTTATCAGCCTGGGGATTTGTTGCTCGTTGTCGTGTTTGTCAAGTGCAAGTGGCTCCTCAGGTTGTAATGTTCCTGTCACTGATAGGTGGAGACCAGCGCTGTTAGAGGTTAGCTGTGTTTGGTTGATCCTCCTCCTGCTTTAATATAATAATCCGTCAAAGAGCATCTCCACTAGTAATTACCTGCTTCCCCTCCCTTTCTCTCCCAGTGTCTTTGCTCTCAAGACTTCAAACAGGGGATTTTTCTCTTTGCATACAATATTTATATCCTTTATGTCAGTGGCTGGAAGGCATAAAACATTCATGGCACCTTTTCACACCTTAATTTCATGTGATATTCCTTTTGTTTTGTTTAGAATAGATTTCCAACATGAGTCCCAGTGTATTCTCGAGAGAGTATCGATTTGTTTTGTTGCTTCAGAATTCTCCAATTTAAACCGCAGAACATGGCAGATACTTTACTGCCTTAGACATGTGATTGCATCGCCTGTTGGGATCACAACACTGTGTCTGTTGATGATTTTTTTTTAACATTTTGTTCAGGAGGAGTTGATGATAGGGTTGGGTAGTATTAAAGTGTCGATTTTTCTGTAGTATTAATCCAAGACTGCATTATTGTAATGCGAGGAAGCACCTTGATGTCCAACATCAGAATAGTGCAAGAAAAAAACAACATCTTTCTTCATTTGCTGTATATTGCAAGTACATTGTAACATTGATTTTGTCTATTTTGGTTTAGTCCGCATCAGCATGCTTTGGTGGTTCTTCGGTGATATGTAGAGCTTTGTTGTAGCTGTGTACTGCACTGGGGCCAGGGCCAAAAATGTGGAACAAGTTATAATGTTGGTTACTCTTATTGTTTTATTTATTTTGGCCTGTTAGCTTATGCTTACCTCAAATGTCGGACCAGTAAGTGATGTCCCACTTGACTTGACCGCATTCCAGTAGTACAAGTAACAAAAACAGGTTTTGTTTTGCTGACTAAGAAGGCAGAGCTATTTATCTTGGGTTTTTTTGCTCTTTAAAACACCTCTGCACCACATTCACTGATGGAGCCTGGTCAGTGTTCACAGACACTGCAGGAAGACTTGGAAGTTTTACTACAATTTACGCTCACTGCTGCCATCTTGGATTAAGAAGTCAGGGATGGTGGTTGGTGTGACATTCTGAATGGAAAGAACAACTCGGGAGGAAAGTATTTCATCTGAAAATTCCATCTTAGAACTTGGGATTTCCAACTTCCCACTTCAAATGGAAGACAGAAAACCTATTTCTTGTGAAGAAAAAACAAGTGTTAAAAACAATGAAAACTGTTCCCTGTAGCCATTGTCTGTACATTGTAGTTCTTGTTCTTGATTCCACACATCGTATTAACAGCATCAGGCAGTGTACTGTTGGCTCTTTGGTTGGTGAGCTCCCTAGTAGGGTTGTACTAATCGAGATCGATGATGATCAGAGTGACTGGGGACAACTTCCGGGGCAAAATCTTCCCAGTAATACATTAATGCAGTGATATAACAATTGTAGCCCATGACCTGTAGTTTGCATGGAAGACACCGACTTGTCTACAAACACTTTCTAAGTACTGGCAGTGTCTTTTTCCTTATTGACTGATGGAAGCCAGATAGTCATGGATGGATTTCTATGCCTCTGTGATTATTAACCC